GACACAGAGAGGAGAAAGGAGGGGAGGTGTGAAGACTTGCATGCCTCAGGCAGGTTCCTACAGGTGGGAGGAAGAGTTGCCCTGCCAGCCATTGACCAGTCATCTGAAATCACAAGACATTGCAGAGCAAACGTAGCCTCTTTATTTTACAGATGGAGAAACAGGCACAAGAGTTGTCTTGGCCACAAACTGAATTAAATAGAACCATCCCTGAACATTGGGCTCCTGGCCCCTGGGCTGTGGTTCGAGGCAAGGGGGGAGCTTTGGCTGAAAGCAGCCAGGTGCCTCACAGTGATAACATGGAGGATGGCTGAGCAGTGAGACCCTGATCCCCAGAAAGCTTCGCACTGAGACTCCCCAGTGGGTGTCGGGGCCCCATGTGTAAGACGAGGGGTTAGGTTTAGAGCAGTGGTTTTTACATTCTTATAGCTTTGGATTCATGGATCGATACAAGTTTTATGTTTGTTTTTTTTAATTGGGAGACTAACATAAATATGGCCATCTTTTTAATTTACCAAGTAAAGGCTCTACCAAAAATTCTATCATTTACTATCACTATCATTTCATTTATACAAAGACTTGTATAGGAAGAGCATAATCTCAGAGTAAAGGTTGACTCTATAAGTGGAATTTAGTTTTATAAAAAACTCACTACAATATCCTTATTTGTATCATTCTGTCAGGAACTGGTGGGAATGGACCAGCTCTGGTCAGCATGTGGGAACCTCTGAGCTGGACAGATGACCCGTGAGAATCCTTCCAACCTGGATGGGCTAGGATTCTAAACTGGGGGGCTTGAGAATGTCTCTTTGGCACCTCACACTTCCAAGGCCATCTCTTAGTCCTAGGAGCACGGCTTGGCTGAGCCTCAGAGGGGAGCCAAGAATGGCCTCTCCTTGTCTGAGGGCAATCAGGGACACGAACAACTGTCTAGATCAAAACTTTTTCTGTAAAGGGGCAGAGAGTAAATATTTGGGGCTTTGAAGCCCAAGTTGCAACTAGTCACCTCTGCTATCACAGGGCGAAGGCAGCCACATACAATTCAAAAATGAGTGGGTGTGGCTGTGTGCCAATAAAACTTTATTTATGGACATGGAAGTTTGAATTTCATATCATTTTCACATGTCACAAAATATCATTTTTTTGATTTTTTTCTTAACTATTTCAAATATAAAACATATTCTTAGCTCGTGGCTATATAAACACAAGGGGCATGCTGGATGTGGCCTGTGGGACACAGTTTGCAAGTGCCAGGTCTAGACTGTTGTTCTCACCTTGATCAGCCAGGTGGCCTTGGGCAAGTTGCTTAACCAAGGTGCTGTCAGTCTCCTCACTGCTTACAAACCAAATTCAGTCTAGACTCGAGACAGAGAGGAAGGTGCCTGCCAGGGACTGTGTGAACACCTGTCTACTGGGCCTCAATCTCGACAAATGGAGAAAATGGACAAATACCCTTGCGTGGCTGTGCCAACATACCTTCTCCGGAGACATAAGGCTTCCTGGGCTTACAGATTGGGGGTCATCTCCTCTGCACTTGGGACAGATTGGATCCTCGCCGTTCCTAGAGACATATGAACGAATCTGGCTGAGTGAGGTATTCATGACTTCCTGACACCAACCTCTGTCCCAGTAGCTCCAAAAGCTGAGGTTTTGCCCAGCACAGTGCCTGATACAGTGAGCATGCAGATCCACAATCCCAGACCCACTGTTCCCAAACCTCAAAGCACTGGGCACCCAATGTCTTCCCATAGTTTGCAGTGAGCTTCTTTGGCAGCTAAACCTGACCCGCCCGAAGTGACTGGGGGCTATTATAGCCCTTATCCCACTTAGTGTGAATATTTGTTTCATTGCAGAAATATTAATAGGCTTGATTATAAGGTGCTGCCCAACTCCACTGGAAGAATTATGTAGTAATGCACTGACTTGCTTTTCTGAAATGTGAAAAAATTCTGACTTCTAAAATACAACTGAGCTAGGGCTTCAGGCAAGGGATTGTGGCTGTGTAGCTACAATTGTTCCCAGCTTCCTCTATTTGGTTTTGACTCTTTGCCTTAGGAATTACAGTTGACCACGACCAATTAAACAAGAAGGGGCCTCAGAGAACACCTAACCTGAGGTTTTCACCAAGAGAGGGTGTCAGACTCTCGCCAGGTGACACATGGGCTATGAGATTTTACAAAGCTCCCAAGTAATTCTGATCCACAGTCAGAGCCACTGGTCAGGCCTCAAATGTGAGACCTCAGAGGACATATGGAATGGCCAAGGGTAGGCAGAGTCAGGAGCAGAACTGGGCAGAGCTCCTCATACCTAAAGCCTGGGTCCCTTCAACATCCAGTCAGCTCCTTCTCCACCTCTGCCAGGTTTTGGAATAATGAGGAGGGAAGCCAAGAGACCCAGTGAAAAGCCTGAGATGAGCCCACAACAATCAGCTTGATGGTAAAATCATTCAGGCTTTGACTACCCTATCCCCACAACCTGGTCTTTCCATGGCCACAACCTCTCCCCTCCCCCTGCATCAAAACATTTGAATTTCTCAAACTAGAGTGATTCAGTTTTCCCACCTTCTTACTCTGTAAAGCCCCAAACAAAGGTCACGCTGGGGGCGTATGGCAGTTAAAGAGCACTTTGCCAGTAAATTGACCTGGGGCAAGTTGACCTAATCTCTCCATTAGGCCTCAGTGTCCTCATCTGTAAAATGGGACAATAGTATCCACCTTTCCAAGGCTCTTCTGAAGACCCAAGGAAAGAGGCAAACAGTTGGCTCAAATTAGTCCCTTAAGGTGGGACGCTGATGATAGTATGGATGTCATACCTCTCTGAGTTATTGATATTTTAAATATTTTATATATGTAAAACATCTATTTATATAAGTATATATCTATATGTAAATATATACATATTCAATTATATATACATACAGGGGTTGGCAAAATAGGTTTACAGTTGTGAATATGCAAAGTGGGCAAAAGTAGGTTTATAGTTGTTTGTATGGAAATCATACAAATAATACAATAATTAATAAATAAATATTACTTGCATACTCACAACCGTAAACCTACTTTTGCCCGCCCCTGTACATATCATCTGTAAATACATACATATATAAACATATACATATTCACACCATATCTACATATATAAATATATCACCTACAAATACATATATAGATATCTTTGTTCCCTTTAAAAGTGTTCTCAGCAAATAGTACAAGATGATGGGTGGTATTATGGAAGGAGATATAGTTGTATAGAAGTTTATCATTTACTAAGAAAGTTTATATTCATTATTACAAAAACTTTTTGGAATATTATTGATTGTGCCTCTTAATCCTGGGAGATAGAATATAGCTTTACAGGCATTTTACAGACAAGGAAGTGGAGGCTTCGAGACATAAAGCAATTTGTGCCCAGCCTCATAGTAAATAAGGAGCCCAGCTGGGCCTGAGGCTCTCCCCTACCCTGGACAGCCTTCTACTGTGACAGCTGACATCTGTCTGTGGCTACTTCTACCAAGAGTCAGAAGGGGCAGTGTCAAGGACTGTAAGGAAAGGGCAAGGAAACTGAGGCCCAGAGAGGTGAAGTCACCTGCCCAAAGCCACCAGTTTCTCTCACCCTCTTCTCCCATCAGGGGTCCCTCCCTGGTACCTTCTTCCCACCCACTCTATGCTCCTCTGACCCCTCACCTCAAGTTCTCAGAGAGACAGGCGGTGCAGCAGAGGGCCTTGGGCTCTGATGGGTCCTGGCAGACGGTGGGGGGGCACCCAAAGGGAAACTCGTTCTCATCGGGGGCTGGGCGGGGGCTGCTAGCTGAGCCAGAGGCCATCCCGGGGTCCCAGGCTGGCCAGGGGGCCCGATTAGTTCCTGCGGGGAGGCACCCAGCCCTGTGGAGTCTGCGCTGAGAGAAGAGGTAAGTTCTGGCGTGGGCACCCTCTCTGGTGAGCAGGAGTCTGATGACTTTATCTTCTCGCTGACTTGTGTGGTTCAACGTCACAGCTGAATCACAGGAGGGATGCAGGAATTACCCTTTGTGGTGAAAAAAATCCCCTGGATGCTGACTGAAGGCTCTAGGAGTGTCCAGTCATTCTTTAGAGTGACAGAGAGCAAGAGAACGAGTCAGAGAGAAAAAACAACCATGTCACAGACTTTCAGGAACCACAGTCAGAGTTCCCCTGTCAGAGAAACTCGGGCTGCTGCTGGCTTCCTCCACCTCCTCCCCAGGGGACATGGGCAGACAGCCAGAGCCGGTGACTCGTCTGTGATCCTTGAGACCTCCAAGCAGCCTAGAATTCTTGCTCACTGCCCTGGTGGAAATCCCTAGGTCCTGGTGGCAGCTCCAAAAATGCAAGTTTCAGGCGCTCGATCTCTGCACTGTCCGGTGTCTCAGATAAAAGTCACTTCCTCACAATGGGTCTCGGTTACCTCATCTCCAAAACAGGAGTTGCAACAGGTGGTCTCCAAGGCTCCTCTGGGCTCTCAGATTCTGTGACCCTACGGCCAAGGCAACCAGAAGTAGCAGGAGGCTTCTGATGGCCTTGCCTGTGGCATTCCTCATCAGTCATGATGACAACACAGGACCTTTCCCTCCTTTCAAGTCCAAGGCCTCAGAACCATACACTGCTCAGTGCACTCCTCAGGGCCCCACTCAGGAAGTCATAGGTGGCCACATACCCAGGTCAGGCACCACCACTTCCCAGCCCTGAGGAGAACAAAGCTCTAAATAAATACAAGGCCACAGGGAGTTGGTCTCAGTGGCCAAGTGGAATGCAGATCCCCTGTTGTGTGGGATCTGCGGTGCCTGGCACATATACTGTGAGCAGGGTAACATTTTCCTTCCTATTCCTCAAAGTAACCTGTTGGGAATTCTGTGGCCACATATAGGCACAGAGAAGCAAGACTACTGGTCCAAAGTCACACAAACCCTGGTGGTGGAGCAAGATTCACAGCAGGTCTGTGGGACTCCAAGCTCGGTCTGTGTTCCTTTACCCATACAAGAGAGATGAAAGCAAGGCCGAGTGGGGGAGCCTAAAGAGCCTGGGATGGAGGCCAGAGCATCCAGCCTCTATTTTCTCACCTATCAAATGGGAAAGATAATTTCTTCACATTTTTCTATCCTGCTGGGCTGCTACTAGGGATTTGGAAACTTTTATAATGATTTCAAATCATGGGCTTTGAGGTCTAACAAATCTGAGCTTAAATCTTAAGTCCACCATTTACTAGCTGTGCGCCCTGAGACAAGGTCTTTAACTTTTGAGCTGCAGTTTCTGCATCTGTAAAAGGGGGAAATAGCTACTTCACCTGACTGTTGAGACTAAATGAGATTGTAGGTGAAAGTGTGCCATGATGCACTGCCCAGCTGAGGTGCTCAAAAGCCTTTGACACTATATTCTGATGATGGCCACAGCCCTCCCAGCTCCTCCAGATTAGGGGAGAGGATTAAAATGGTAAATGATGCTTATATCTAGTGTTTACACATCCATCAGCTTTATTTGAGTCTCACAAGTGGGCAAAGTAGGTCAGATGTTGTCCTCTGACCCGAGATAAATTCGACTACCAACCTTCCCTGAGCAAAACTGGGGCTACCAGGGGCTGCTGACAAAGAGGGCATGGCACCCTGGTGCTGCAGTGTAAACCAGGACCTCTCCTGGGCCAACCCTGGCCGGGCTCTTTCAGCAAATGACCTTGAGGCCTACTTCAGAAAAGACTATCAGAAAGGCACTCCGTTAACTGCCTACCCCAAACCTGCAAACTTCCTCGCATCCGCACCTGTTCTCTCCTTCCCTTGGTTTGACACAGATAGGTACCCAGGATTTCTCTCCCTATCCAAGTTCTGGGTCCTTTTCTGTTTAGTCTCTTTTCTCTCTGCCTTCAATGCCTCCCTCTCTACCAGCTCCTTCCCATCAGCATCAAAATATGCCCCAGCTGGTGAAAAATAGTTAAGTACTACTTTTTAGCGCTGTGTGAAGTACTTTCACAGGCACCATCTCATCCCATCTTCACACGAACCCTATGAGGTAGTATTGTCATTATCTCCGTTTTACAGATAAAGGCACAAAGAGGTTAAGCGACTTGCCCGAGGTCTCACAGAGAGTGAGTAGGGACTTCTAACCACATGTAGTGCTTTAAAATGCTCTTCACCTTCATCCCAAATTCCTCTCCCAAATCTATACTCCCTCATTTTAACAGAACTTCTAGAAAAGATGGCCTACACAGGTGCTCCCTGCCTCACTGGCATCTCAGTGGAATCATCTCTCCAAGGTTCTCGATGTCAAAGTGGCCAAGCGCCCTGCGCCTGCCCGTTTTCATCCACCAGCCCTCTGGCCAGCACCAGACACGACTCTGGGCCCCTCCTTTAGAATTCTCTTCCCTCTGCGCCTCCCTGGGACCCTCACACGCGAAGCCTCTCTGCCGCGCACCCCCATCTCCCTAGTCTTCCACTTGTCTTTCGGGGCCCACCTGGACCAGACCCCACTTCCCCTTGGAGTCTCCGTAGGCCTCCCCAGGATGGTGCTGGGCACCCGCCTTTGAGATTTCATCGCGTCCCGCAAGCCGGGTTGCCTATGTGTCCCCTAGCTCCGTTCGCCCCATGTCCCCCACCCGGGCGGGTGACTGTCGTCTGGCCACCGTCATCTCTCCAGCTGAATTCCCAGCAGAGCAGCGCCCGCGACTATTCAAGGATGAGCGAACCCCAGGGGTGCCCCGGGCGCCCGCAGGAAGGGCTGGGGCAGTGAGCCCGGGTGGGTTCTGCAGCCGCGACTCCAGGTCCCGGGCCGCGCGCGGGGAGCCCGGGCCCG